TGCCACGTGCACGCATGCGCAGTGCGTGCCGCGTGCACGCATGCGCAGTGCCGACCGCGTGCACGCATGCGCAGTGCTTGCCACGTGCACGCATGTGCAGTGCGTGCTGCGTTCACGCATGCGCAGTGTCAGCTGATGCTTACACTGCCTTCTTGCAGCTTCTGCACGAACTCCATGCCTGCGAGCTTCCACGTTCCCTTCGTGTTGACGATGATCGACTGCGGCGATACGTTGCCATGGATCATCTGCTCTGTGCCGTGGATGTACGACAGTGCCTCTGTCACCTGCGAGCACAGAAATAATATAGTTATAACCATCTATATTATTTTTATTATTATATTTATTTTTTATTATTATTTTATTTTTCATTAGCGATTTATTATTTTTTATTTTTTATAATTTATAATTTGTATTTATTATATAATATTAATTTTTTATTATTAATTATTATTTATTTATATTATTATGTTATCTATATTATTTCTATGCCTGCGAACAAAGAGCCGTGTGTCACCAGCATGCCGGCATCCGGCAAGAGTCGTGCGTTCGGTTGGTGCCAACCATAGAAATATAATAAGAAACACTGGTCTAACTAGTATTATCCTTAAGGTGCCAACCGAAGTAGCGAAGGAGAGTGGCCGAAGAAGATGGGTCGTTAAATATTCACCTATATGTATATATGTATATATATATATATATCTTATATACACCTCGCGTGAACTCGAGTCAAATGAAGATTTATGGCGCTATCACGTTCGCAATGATTCAATTGTAATTTTTTTAATGTCAGATAACGTCGGACACGTGATTTCGAGACGGGCTCGAGATTGCTGCTGAAGGATATACGACTAGCTGGATACCCGGCGTTGCCCGGGGAAATCAGTGGCGTTACTCAGTTGGTGACCGCTTGGTTGAAAGGAAAATGCCCCAACAAATCTAACTATCTATCTATCTATTCATCCATCCATGCATCCATCTATCATTCCCATTCCATGCCATGCCATCCCATCGCATCGCACCGCATCCCATCTCATGCCATCCCATATCCCATCCCATCCCATTCCATCCCATCTCATCGCATCTCATGCCATCCCATGCAATCCCATGACATGCCATGTCATGCCATGCCATGCCATGCCATCGCACCGCATCCAATCGCACCGCATCCAATCGCACCGCATCCA